ATCTATCTATCTATCTATCTATCTATCTATCTATCTATCTATCTATCATCTATCTATCTATCTAATTTAACCTATCATCTTTTGATCTTTGATGGAACATAGCAGCTTCCATATTATTTATCATAAATGTTTTATTCCAAAGAATTGAGATAAAAATACTGCTGTTTCAAAAAACCGTAATCACCACTGGAGGCTATCTCTTACGATCTCCTGGAATCACCAGTGCTCAGAAGACTTTGGTTTACTCTCTTTGTACTGTCACCACTCGTAGTAGGTAAAGAAAAATAGCACACACATATCATAATACAGTGGGGAGATCAGATTTGTGTATCTGCATTTGTCATGATGAAACTGAAGCAACTGGACTACATTTTTTAAAGTGGAAATTGGCTTGGGAATATTCAAATCTTGGGGGGTGGGGAGGAGAACCACATTTATTCTCTTTATTACATATCTCTTCTAGACTAGTAAGTATAATATCACAGTTTCATATGGATAATTCAACAGTCTTTGTTATGCTGTGGTGCAAGGTTCATAGTGATGAAGGGAAAAGCATGAAGGGAAAAGCATTTTGACCCCTTATAATCCTTTTTTTGCTAGTTAGTAGCCAGCTATTTCAGAAGGACACAGAGAAAAGGAGATAAAAAATAACAAAATGTTCGGCATCTGAAATAATCCTGTTTTCTGACAAGCACATATCCCAAATGCCTAGCATATAAATTCATTTTTGTTTAATCCTTTGGGGGGAAATGGAGGATTTGTGAAAAAAAAAAGAACTGCATAGACTTTAATGCTGGAAACTTATTCTTTTCTTTTTCAGAGCTTTTCCATTCCGCAACTTTTAGCTGCCTGGCTTGTATAAACTGAAGAATAAACAGGAAATGAAGGCAGTTTAAGTGGTTATTAATCTGTTTGTGAAAAATCCCTTTCCAGATTTCAGTCCCTTTCTTTTCCTCTTTGGCCATTTTAGTGGTCTGGTCTGATGTTCTGCTTTCAGAAGGTGCTGTCAGTGCTTGTCTCTCTCCTCTCTCCTGATAAAAGTGTTTTAAAACTTCAAATTATCAGACTGTGTGGACAATGTTCAACAATTAACTTAACTCCAGCTCTGTCTCTGTCTGCTGAGCTGCAAAAGATGGTGGAGGAAGATTCTTTGACTAATCTATGAAAACAAAACCTGGATCAAGTATAAGTCTTGGAGCTAATCCAGCAAGATGTGGCAGAGTTTAAATGTGATTTAAAACAGACAGAACAAAAGATGGCTTGCTATGGACAAAGATTTTTATGATCCCTGCCTGGCAGATTTCCCTGATTCTTCACCCTTCATGGGCTAGCAGAATAAAGAAGAAAGAGCATAACTTTGATTTACCTTTTCCATCTCTGTCACTTGGGCTATTTAAGGAAAGTGGTTGAAGACTTCCTAATTTTAACTGGTTAAAAACAAAGCCCCAAAGCCAAGGTTAAATCCATCTCTGCACTGTTCTATTAATTAACTTGCCAAAAAAAGAAAGGGAAATGATCAGCTTTTCAGCACCCACTAGTGAAATTAATGGCCATGAGCATGTTAGCTGTTAGCAAGGGGTAGGTTGAGGACAATGTCATGTACTCCTGTCCTAAAATACTTATGCTCATGCTGGGTAAGCTGGAAATACTCTTCTATAATAGCATTGGTTTCAGTGCAATGAAAATGTAAACACATCAGGAATGTTTTTGCACTAGTCTTTTCCTTGACAAGAATCAGTAATTGTTTTGGCTATTCATCAGGGAAACAGAAAGCCTGCACACCTGTAGAAGAGGAAAGATTACTTGATTTTAAAACTGATAGAGGACAAATTACTGCCAAGAAAACAACCTCAGCAAGTGGACTAGAATTTTTAGAGTTCATAATTTTGAATATGTATGCGTACACAGGTACATGTGCTTGGTCAAGAATCTTAAGAATAAGAACGCTTAAAATGCAACTCTCCTATTGTTGCAAGTAAGCTGCCTTGTTCCTTCTAGGCATCATAGAATATCTTATATTCAATCCTACAGATTTAGCAGAGATTGGGACAATTTTGTTATTTTCCAGAATGCATATGCATTATTTAGCTCCATGGATTTTATCAGTGTACCTATCTTTCCAGATGGTGGATTGGATTTTTGTGCATGATTTGAAAAATCATAGAGGATTATTATGGGTGAACTTTGTATTCTTTAATGTATGTAGAAAATCAGTAGTCAAAGGAGATTTTTGGTCTAATTTTTATTATTTAAAATAAGGATCCCATGATATAAGATTGGGCAAATCAATCTGTCTTCCACCTATGCTTGTTCTGTATGAGTGTAGCCATGAATTCAATCCATTTTGACATCAATTTGCAATTAGTTCCTAAAAAGGAAACTTCACAAAAATGCACATTTATTTATAAAGACAATTTCCCCACATGCACTTCATATTTTTTCCTAATTGTAATCATTATTATATGCCATTTTTCATATTTATTGTCAGTGTTCCAGCAAACCTCCATTTCAACCAATAACTCCAAGACAGACATCTCTCAAAAGTTCCTTTAATTGGATAGTAACTGGTACATCTGTGGAATCATGAATCTGAAAGTTTCGGGCTTCCTTGCAAAAGTAAAAAAACTACAAATCCATCCCCCATCCCTATCACCACATCACATGGCCCAATCACCATCCATCCCAAAGTAAACTTTCCTTTTCACTATGCACAACACTACGTGACCTTGAAACAACAAAAGAAATTTATTTTGTCTAACTAGATATACTCAAATGAATTCCTCCCTCCCACTTTCTCAGGCTCAATTGTGGCAGCGTGACATTTTGTACTTTGGGGATGTAATTTCTGCTAAAAAGAGGTCCAAAATTTAAAAAAGGAAATCATTTGAAATTGTTTTAAGCCAAGCATTGATCCAAAAGTTGTAGATTAAAACAATTTAAACAAATTAATCTACCATCCCTCCTGTAGGGGAGTAAGAAAATGAAGTGCAATGAAAACTGCATATGGAATTGTAAAACTGAAATGTCCAATTTAAGTATCAGAACAAAGGCCCTTTTCATTCCTGCCCTGTATCTTAATGTGCTTGGATGTCCATCAAACTACTAAGAATTTGGTTTCTCTTATCCAGTTTCAGAGATTGTATGATTAATGCCTTGGGTCTACTTTTGAATTTTTAGGAATACAACCCAAGTGTTTGTTTTCCAATAGACATTTGGGTGTAACAAACAGCAAAAGAATATCTAGG